AAAATTCTTTTTTAAAAAATATATATATATACACACACACACACACACACACACACATATATATATGCATGTATATTTATGTTAGATGTATGTTTAATGCATACATTTACTATAATGCTAGTTCTTTCTTACTGTATTCTCCTGTAAGACATTTGGCATATTTTCTTTATTTTGCATTTTAGTTTTCTTTTGTCGTCAATAAATTTATCAAGTTTTCTGACTATAAAAGTATTTTCCCGGATTTTCCCCATTAAGTTCCTATGGTATTAGGCTGGTTTTTTTTTTTTTTTTCGAGGCAAAGTAACAAAGATTCATTTGGAGGAATTTCCAATCATAGAAATACACTGCCCCTTACTAGTGAACTACCTTAAAGGCAGATGTTGGCAAGTTCATATATGTATGAGCAGGACAGCTGCAAGACATTTGTATACCTCAAGTCTTGCTTTTTCACCTAATCTAATCCTAGCACAACTATAAAATTGGAGCAAGAGATTTAAGACAAGACATTTGTAGACACCATGGATAATTTTTGGAAGCTACCATAAGTGTAATCTCTAAGCCTCCATTTAGAGGAGGATTCACGATCAATGTGGATAATTTTTTTTCTTTTACTATTTTTTTTTTAGGGCTTCCCTGATGACTCAGCAGGTAAAGAATCTGCCTGCAATGCAAGAGATATAAGAGACGTGGGTTTGATCCCTGGGTTGGGAAGATCCCCTGGAGAAGGAAATGGCAACCCACTCCAGTATTCTTGCCTGAAAAATCCCATGGACAGAGGAGCCTGGTGGGCTACATTCCAATGGGACAAAGAGTCAAACACAACTAAATACAGATTTTTTTTTTTAAACATGTAGTCATATTACTTCACACTATGGACATGCTACTTGGAGCTCTATTGTTAATTTTTTTGTTCCCAGGCCAGTGTCTGGGTATCTTCATTAAGAGTGGAAAGGTTTTTCATATTAGAATTTGCCCTTGGATCTCAACCTGGGACCCAGAAATCATGTCTTGGGTAACATGGGTTAGGTATCTGTGGTAGCTCACCTGATCTGACTCCTATACTTCCCTTGGTGAATGCCAGATGAAGGACCTTTCCTACCACAATTCCCTGCTGTGTCCACTGACTTTTCTTGCAAGACCTCTCAGTGAGCTGAGTACTTTCCTTTAATGTCATTCCTTGAGAGCCTGAGCTGCAATTAATCTATGTATGCCTAGATCTGATCGCTTCAGCTAATGATTTAAGTACTGTAAGCAAGGGCTGCATAACCAACATACATTACAAAAACCACAGCAACAACGGGATAAAAAAATCTTTCAGAAAATCCTTCAAAGGCTTCCTACGGCTCTCATTTTAGCATTCAGAGTACTTACTGGGACCTTCAATGCTCAATTCATACAGTCTGGGCCTTGTTTATGTCACAGTCCCACCCCTCATCTCTTCCTGACTACCCTTCTGTTTCAGCTATGATAACCCTCCTGTGCACGTCTGCTCCTGACTCAGGCTTTTTGCTCTCTCTAGTCCACCACTCCCAACCCACCACCCCCACCACCGTGTCCACAACATTTCTTACTAAATTTTGTTATTTTAGATCTCAACTTAAACCTTGTTTTCTTAAGGTTTTCTTTGAGTATCCAGACTCAAAGTGTGGCTCTCCTTTTATTTACCTTTTTAGCAACCTAGACCTCTTCATAGTATATTTTGCAAATGTATTTATATAATTATAATTGACTGTGTTGTATTTCTCTTCTGCATTAAAAAAACAAAACAAAACAAAACACTAGGATCATGTCTCTTGTTTAATACTGCACTTAGCATGGTGTCTTAGCATGGGCTTCCCAGTGGCTCAGCTGGTAAAGAATCCACCCGCAATGTGGGAGACCTGGGTTCAATCCCTGAATTCGGAAGATCCCCTGGAGAAGGGACCGGCTACCCACTCCAGTATTCTGGCCTGGAGAATTCCATGGACTATATAGCCCATGGGGCTGCAAAGAGTCGGACACTACTGAGCAACTTTCACTTAGCATGGTGTCTTGCGTGATACTCATTACCTTTTTATTGAATTAATTAAGCATTGTGAATAATGTTTCATGACTATACTTTCTATGAGCCCTTTTTTCTGTTATCACACATATAGAACAAAACATATTGTAACCTTGGTTCCCCTGAAAGTATAGCCTAAGTCAGAGGCTTCCTTGAAGTTTAACTGATCTTAAGGAGCAGGGGTGAAGAGCAGTAAGAGTGTGATTGCTATGGACTGAATTATGTCCCTTCAGAATTCATATTTTGAAGCCCTAACTCCCAGTGACTGTGTTTGGAGACAGTGTCTCAGAAAGTAATCAAGATTAAATAAGGTGATAAGAGTGGGGCCCAAATCGGATCAGTTGTGTGCTTGTAAGGAGGGGGGAAGTGCTCTTATCTCTCTCTGCCATGTAAGGACACAGGGAGAAAATGGTCTTCTGTAAGCCAGAAGAGTGTCTTCAGAAGAACTCAACCATGCTGGCACCCTAGTCTTGGACTTGCAGCCTCTAGGTCTGTGAGAAAATATATTTATATTGTTTAAACCACTCAGTCTATGGCATTTTGTTATGGCAGCCTGAGTAGGCTAATACAATGACATAGGGAAAGAGATAAAGCCAATAAGAAATTGTGTTACTGCATTGGTTAAAAGTATAGGTGAGTGATGCTTGATTTGAAGACTTATGAAATTCAGCTCACAATTGTTTTCCCTGGGGATGAAAAGGGGAAGCATATATCTATCAGCCTTTGTAGCCCATTGGTTAAGGATGGCAGAAATATAAGAGCAGGAAGTAAGATATGTGATGCAACCTGAAGAAAGGCATCAAAGCATTGCACTTGAAAGTAAGCTGTTGAAATCCATAAAGAATTGATCACTGCAGCAGAGCCTGGAAGAAGAGGTGTGGCTGATAAGATTTGAAGTGGTATACAAACTATCTGATACATAGACCACCACAAAAGTATCCTGTATTCAATATCCACAAGTAATTTGTGTTTTTAGTATTTCTACAATGCTTGTTCTACATGGAAAAATAAATGAGGCAGTTTTTATAAACTAAAATTGATAAAAAGTTTGATTGCAAGTAAATGCTAACTCTGACATTATTACAGTGATTCTTACAAATAAAATCTCGGAACATAATTTTTCAAAGTGTCAAAAGAAATGTTAATGACAATTTAAGCATTGTTTATCTCAGAATCTAAACAGAGGGATATGTTACTGACCAGAAAGCAAATTTAACATGTTTCTTTATCACAGAAGCAGTAAGCTTTGAATTACAGCGAAAATGGCATTGAGAAATAACCTGTTTTAAAAGCTACCAGGGACAGATACTGCTAAAGATAATAACTTTTTAACATTAGTTGATTTTCAAAATAATTATAAGTTGAAAACAATCCAAATAGCTTGAGAATATAATTCTGATCAATCTGAGTATGACATAAGAGAAATACTGGAATGGTTTCCCCATGATTGCAAAACTTTTGAATATTTTAAAGAGAGAAAAAAAGATAAAACTAAATACAAGAGGGACCTCAAGATAATTTGTACACATTGAAATAAGAAAGTAAATTTGGAGCTTTCACAAGGGAACCAATTATTTTTTTAGATACATTTTATTGTTATCAAAATAATCCGTATACACCCTGAAAAATGCAAATAGTAAAGAAGATTATAATCAAAGCACCAGCTCACTGAAAGACAACACTGTTAACCTAGATTTGTATTTTGGTGGTACCTAAATCGAAAAAGCAAGAGGGTTCCAGAAAAACATCTATTTCTGCTTTATTGACTATGCCAAAGCCTTTGACTGTGTAGATCACAACAAACTCTGGAAAATTCTTAAAGAGATGGGAATACCAGACCACCTGACCTGCCTCTTGAGAAATCTGTATGCAGGTCAGGAAGCAACAGTTAGA